AGTTGAGACTGAACATGTGATTTCAACAGTCTGACCCCAGGTCACCTCACCAACAGGGTAAATGGAGATACGAGGTTTTGGAAACCTCACTGAAAAAATATCAACATATGAAAGCATTATCTCACCAGGTTACTGATTTTATTACTGAAAGAAGAGAATGAAACAAACAACTTGGCAAAGTGGATTTTTTTTCTTACCAGTGAGTCCGACAGGAGAAGAGCTGAACCTTCGACTTATTTTCATGTACTGACACTCGTACAGTCCATCATGATCAAAGTTCACATTGTGAAGATTGAATGTAACAGAGCTCATAGAGGATGGTTTAGTCTGACTGAATGAGCCTGAAGTCTTCTGGAGGATAAAAGTTCCACCTGAGAGCTTATCTGAGACTGAGCAATTGATTCTGACGTCCTGACCCCAGGTGACCTCATTACTGTACAAGGAGAGGGTGGGCTCTGGGAGGGTTTCTAAAAAAAAAGAAAAAAAAAAAGATGTAGTATTAGATAAAACAGGACACAGTCGAGTTCAGATCAGATAATATTAGTGGCTACGATATTGGCTAATGGCTTAGCTGATACCGTTTTGTGTCTGCAAATGACAAATCTCTGCAGCTAAATACCAGACTACTGTTTTTTTTTTCATGCTGTATCTGATTTAGTGTCTGCTGGCAGTTATGTGCAGTACTGTTACTGCTGGTTATGGTTACACTATCTCCAGCCTCTCGTATACACACAGAAAAATGAGGCAGGTGTGCTCTCTCCTGAATACCACAATAATCTGTACTGCCTCCTTCTCTTCTCCAATACACTGCGACCTCTTGGTTTCTCTCCCTGGACATCTTCGACATATGATCAATGACCATTAAGTCAAATTATAAAGAAAAAACATCAGATAAACACTCACTGAAACTGATCATGAGCTATAACAGTGTAGAGCAGGCTGGTAATGGTTTAAACTTCTCTGATTAGTTACTGGCACTAATTTTACAGACTTTAACTGCTCTTTTCATTCTCTCATCTCATATTTCCTTTTTCTCACAATATCTTGAGGGGGTTAGACAGAAACTTTTTTGACCTTGCTTCTATCTTATGAATGTTTCAGGTTATTGCTGCTAAAGGAGGTTTCTAAATTAGAGTTCATTTCAACCAAATGTTGCAGAGCAAAAGCTGCTGTGAATTCTCTCCAGCACAAAAAATATTTGTATCATCTGCAAATAAAATAAACTGTAATATATCAGATGTTTTACATATATCATTGATG